CTCCAACTTTCTCCATGACTTGAACACACCATGGATGTTCTTCAAAGCTGTTTCTAAGGGAGTTCTTCATTACCCTATATTACACTATATCATTTATATATTCTATTCTATCATAAGCAAGCATTCACATGTTAGTATAAATTATCATACTATTATTTCCATCATATGCTTATTTGATCATGTTTTTCATATTATTCAAACATATGCTATGATTACATATCATTTCTTAGGATATTATTATTACATGTTTCCATTTATCATTTATGAATACCATGTTATATGATATTCATACATACAACATATACCCTATCTTTATGATTGATACACAATGTTATAAGCATATTAGGATAGTCTTATAATCATATTAAGCATGATTATCATATATACATCAAGGCAGCATCATTATAAATCATTTCATTAGTTCATATGCATTCATATTAGCTCTTAAGCTTCATGCATTATCTTACACATACTTTGAGATGATATAATTAGCTCATGACCTTCAAACATAGCTCACATCACCATAATCATACATGACAGCAAGGCATTTAGCTCATAACAGCTCAATATCATGGACTTACCTTGTTTCCTTACACATATAGGTACATTGGAGTGTGATGCACGATGAGGCAGCTTGGTAGAGTATTTGGACGTCATATGCAGCTCACAAACAGCTCACAAATATCATGGCAGCTCATGGAACACTAAGGAAAGCTCAACTTAGCTGGAGGTAGCTTAGCTAGCAAAGTGTGAAAAGTGGACTAAAGGTAGCTGGAAGTAGCCGAGGAGCTGAGAAGACCAAAGCTAACTAGCTTGAGTTTATCAAGCTATAACCCACCTAATTAGCTACCAAGACACTCATATAGCTTACCTTGAAGCTAGTTCATCTCTAGGCTGCCTAATGGATGCCATGTCATCTAGATACACATTGGAAGCTAATTCATGCCTAGTTGTTGCCTATCTTCATTCCATGGACTTCAAGACATCATCCTATGGTTGCAACCTCATCAAAGCATAGCAAGAAGACCCATGTGCATTCATGTAGGTTGCCATGTGCATCATTCAAGCATGTGCACTTCATGTGACATCAAATTGGCTCCAAAACACCAAAGGATGCTTCCTATTCGGCCAAAGACTCTTTCCTCTTCATTTTGGCACCCAAATAACTTCCAAATGCATTCAAATCATCCTTAGGGCCGAACCAACACATTACCATTCGGCCAAGAGCATGTATTTTCATTAAAGTCTTGTTTTTTTCATTAAAAATCATGTCATTTTATGAAGGTGTAAGGGCTGGCCGAACCAACATGTACCTATTCGGCCAAGTCCCTTCAAAAACTATAAATAGGACATTATAGTTCAATTGTAATCAGACCATTTTGATTAATATAAGTGAGATTATTCTCTTCCTTAAGTCCTGGTGACTTTTATCGACTTATCAAGTATTTTATACTTGTGGCGTCAACATTCTTCTTTCATCTTGATACTTATGGTTCTTAGTTCATATAACTAGTGGGTCAAAGTACTTAACACCACCCCTTGAAGAAACAATATAAAGATTGGGTCTTTGCTCTCTATAGCATTGGTTCTTCTTTGAGCGTTCTTCAAGATATTATCCTCACAACCATCCTTTTTGTTTCATCGCCATAACCATAACCATTTCAATCATCTTCCGCTTTCATCTCTCATTTATTAAATATTATACCTATTAAACCATACGTTTACCACCCTTACCCATTCTGTTTTAAGCCATTCACTTTTGCAGGGTTGTTTTGCTTCCTTCCTAGATCCACAATCAAACGAGAAGGTAGAATTACCTTACATCACAATGTATCCGACCAAGTCCCATCAACGTTTCTAGTATCTCTCGTCGAGCTATCGATGAGGAACAATATCCCAGACAACTTCGACAAGATTAGGTTCTACAAGTTCTAGATCTTAGTCACAACATGTTATGCGGTGCAATATCATCAGTTTTTTTCAAGCATCGTTAACTGGAATTTTAGATTTTTAAAACTTTTATAGAAAAATAACAAAGAAATATAAGGTAGCTCAATGGTTAAGTATTATGTTTAATATTCAAGGGTTTGGGGTTTAAGTCCCTTTAGTTTCATATTATATTTTAATAATTTTTTCAAGCAAAACAATGTTATTTTGTCTTTATTGAGCATCAAAATAGTTGTGTTGAAACGACGTCATTTTGTCTTTATTGAACATCAAAATAGTTGTGTTGAAACGACGTCGTTTTAGTAAATCATCCATGTCATCATCGTCACGGCCATCCATGCCATGTCAGCGTCCCGCTAACGGATTAACGACGGGGTGACTTAATTGGAGTAAAACATAAACGTCAGTATTTAAATTGGAAAAATTGAAACGTCAGTGACATTTTCGAGCCAACGCCTAAAGATTAGTGATATTTAGAGTAGTTTACCCTAATTAATATTCAAATATTAATATTCAAATGTTATTATTTCCATTCTTTCCAAATTTATTATAAGTGCATACATATGACAATTTAATTATTATCACTTTATATTTTGATTATTGATCTTTTTATTTTATCAATCACATCACTTAATTATTTAAATGATGCTGCTAATAAAGTTACATGTCATTGACATTTAAAGGAAGTGTTGATGCAATAATTAATAAAATTGATATTATTACACATTTGATCCTTGATATATATGCATTTTATCAATTTGGTCTTAATTTTAATTTAATTCAATAAATTAGGACCAAATTGATAGAATATATAAGTATTGGGAATCAAATGTGTAATTACACAATTTTTTTAATTGTCACGTTAACACTCTTTTTAAATATTATCAGTAGTTAGTTTTATTGTTATCATTTAAATAGTTAAATGATTTTATTGACAAAACTGAAAGATCGATGATTAAAATAAAAAAAAATAGTTAAATGGTTATACGAATAGTTTATCCTTTTCATTAATTTGTAAGGTTTATATCACAAATAATTACCTAAAGTATATTATCTTTTTTATTTAAATACCTAAAATATTTTTGGTTGAAATATATACCTAAAGTATTCAATTTTTTTCATTTAAGTACCTAAAATATTCTTTAATTAATACACATATCAATTTTTCAGAACTTGGAAGGAAAAAATTAAATAATTTAAGTATCTATTTTGACCAAAAATATTTTAAGTATTTATTTTGATAAAAAAATAATTTTAAATACTTCTAATTAGATTTTTTAAAATAATTTTGATTAAAAATACTCTAAATATTTAGGTAAAAAATATTGTAGTTATTTATAATATAAGTGTATTTGTAAAAGTTAAAGTATTAGGCGATGACTTTTTTTGTGGGATTGTGCAGCAACAGCAATCAGTATATCACATTGTTTGTCAATATTTCCAGCCACATCAGTCATCCAATTTTTCAAGTGTAATAACTTTATCAGATCATTATTAATAAAGAAATAATTTTTCAAGGTGATTATATCTAATTAGACAAGTATTTTTAAAATTTTCTAAACTATAAGGTAAAGGTAGACCTTGTCATTGACAATTTTTAGAATCGTATTTTATGATTAATTTTTATTATGCGACAATTTGATTTAAGGTTAAAGAACGGTGAGAAGGAATACAATCGAAAATATAAAAGAAAACATAATATTTTTATTGAACGTAATATAAATATTATTTTTTTAACTAAAATGTTATAAATAATGTAACATTTTAGAAATATTATTTTACTTCAGATTTTTTATAACTACTTATTATTACTTCGAATTTATTACTCTCTAATTCATTATAATTTTCCATTCAACTACCAACCACTAATATACTCAGGTGATTAATGAATAATTAATAACTACCAACCACCAACTTAACCGGGTTATTAATGGATAATTAATTACTGGTGTCATTATTTTTAAAATCATTATAATTAATATTTTTTTCGTCATTATAATAAATATTATTTTTCTACTACAAACATTAAATCAAATAAGTTCATCTAAATATCTTAAAATTTCTACTACAAATACTAAATCAATAATGTAACTAACAATAAATCGTAAAATACTTTAAATAATAATATATTTTTACACTTGAAAGTTTCTTCCGACAAGTTGATGTTATTACTCACTTCTTTTTTACTTGCAACAACATATTAAAAACAATATTTTAATAACCTTTCCGAAATAGAGATATATTATTCGAATACGAATAAGAATACGAATAAAATTTTATTCATAATACTTACAAATTATAGATTGAAAGAAAATTTCGTTCAAAATTTTCTCTACTATTCTTCCGACAAGTTGATGTTATAAAAAAAACCTTCTCGAATTTATTACTCACTTCTTTTTTACCTGCAACAAAATATTAAAGATAATATTTTAAAAACCTTCCCGAAATAAACATATTTTATTCGAATACGAATATAATTTTATTTCAAATAACACTTATAGATTATAGATTGGAAGAAAATTTCGTTCAAAATTTTCTCTACTATTCTTCTCGGATGCTTACTCTTTTAATTCTTCTTCAGATTTTACCTCTTCTCTCCTTTCGTCACCACTACTTTACTCAATTCTCAACCAAAACATCCGGTTTTATAACATATAAGATATTTATTACAATTTTCCATTAACCACCAATCAACCCGGTTATTAATAAATAATTAATATTTCCATTAATATTTACATGTTTCCCCGTCTGAGGCAATCTACCACCTTCAATGAAGATGCCAAAAAATCCTGGAATCTTTAGACTTGTATTGTAGAAAAGACACTAGATAGGAAATAATGTTGGAACCACATTATCCTGGAAAAAAACTTCCCACAATGCATTATTTTATGGATGATGCTTTTATTAGGGTTCAATTTTCTTGTTGTTTTATCAAAGCAAGCTGTAGGCTTAGACCCAGATCCAGAAGCAGCCCATGTAACTGGTTTTAGTTATTTATTATTCAATGAACACATACCAGATTCTGGGTTTTGGCTTCTTTCCACACTGATAATTTTGCAGTCTCAATAAATAATAATATTTACAGAGCAAGTATTCTACTAAATTGACATCTTCAAGTCAAGCACAAACACAACTCTTGCAAGTAATCCTGCCATGGGTCAATTCAAGCTCACCCTCTTAGCTATTTCTTTGCTTTTCTTGCCTTTTCTTAAGGCCACCGATTTCAAATATTGCGGTCAGTTTTCTCCTATTAGATTATTGTTGTATCTACTGGTGATCTCATATATGTTAGTCCATAGATTTTTAATTGTTTTTCAGTGTTTGTTTTTTCTCCTTAAATTGTTCACTTGCTATGCTTCTTGTTCTCCGATATATGCATGATAAGTTCCTGGATCGAAATGAATGCAGACAAGGAAGGTAATTATGTTGTGAAAGTCAATGGAATCGAAATATCACCTAATCCTGTGGCTAGGGGCAAGCCAGCTACCTTCACCATCTCAGCTTCTACTGGTAAACTTTCCCTTCTTGCAATTTTCTAATGTCCTTGTGTTTGATTCCATGTTTGGTGGTTAATATTTAATTATGAAAAAAAGAGGGTAGAGTGTTGAACATTAGAAATCGATGAAATTCCTTAATATTTTCTAAGGATTCAATTCTCTTGAACTTTAGATGCCGAATCTTTTGCAGATTAAGTAAAACAGGAATAACTGGCTCAAAGGGTTTAATTTAATTATTCAGTTCGCATTGTATCGAGCCAAGCATCATAGATTTTTATAATTTATGAGTCTAAGGATTGTATGCTCGTGGAATATGAGTTTCTTTATGGAAGAAACCAGTGTTACCTAATTCACGGTTCGCTTTGGTTCGTTTAATGGGTTTGGATTGCAATTTTTTAGTTTCCCCGTTCGCGGTTCGTTGGGGGTGGCTTTGTTTCTAACAGATTTTGGGATCATGATTCGTTGGGATAATTTGGTGATGATTGATTCATTATATAGATTAGAAATGGACTTTCCTCCTTCCATTGCTTAATTGAAAGAACAGCTGTGCAACACTGCAACTTGAATTTATTTTCTTCCCAATGCTAGTACATAGATTGTGGTGCTAGAATCTAGGTGCTTCTGGCTCTTCCCACATTATTGACTTTGTTTGCTTTTGCTGTGCTGGTTTTTTCGTTACACCAATTTGGTCTTTCCAGCATGCGTTCCTTAACGAATTGGAATGCTAACGAACCCTAAATTAGGACAAACAAATTCAAATGAGATTCGTGGTGGTGGGGGGCGAATTAGGTAACACTGGAAGAAACATAATTAGTTTACTGGTTTGGATCTCAAGTATGTAGGAACCTGCTTTAGGATGGAACAAAACTATCCTAAACATAGGCCAAATTTCGGGGAGGTTAAACAAGAAGCTTAATTAAAAATCAACCTTCAATCTTCCATATGAACTTCACCGGCATGACCTAAAACCCCTAAAATGTTCTCTGGCAGTTCAGAGTACCAGCATGACCCTAGACCCCGTATCATGAAATCTAATTCTTCTTAGTGTTCCTTTTGATTTAGAATACCTTACATCAGTATCCAATTTCTTAGGTCAATACATTTCAAATCTTGGTGGATTATGGCATTATGCTTTTGGCTACAAAGTTAAATCCAAATTGCTAGACTGGTGCTGTGTTTTGATGGCAAAACCATTTCTTCTAAATCCTTTTCTTTTTGAATAAAAAATATCTTTTTGGATTTAATAGCTTAGACATGAATTCTTAACGTTCTGTAACTTCTTGGTCCATGTCATTGAAAGGCCTTCATTTATACGGTACCGATCTATATATGTATCTACAAATTGCTCCATGTTTTTATGTCCATGGTTCACAGAGCCTTTATTGGCAGTTCATGATTGTGTTTTATTTTGCAGGTCAAGCAATATCTGGAGGCAAAGCGGTGATTGATGTTTCCTACTTTGGGGTACATATCCATCAAGAAACTCATCCTCTTTGTGAGGAAACAACCTGTCCTATTTCTGTTGGGAACTTTGTACTCTCTCACAATCAAGTTTTACCTGGATTTACTCCACCAGTAAGTTTCACTAATGGCGTTAACTTTATTTATTTATTTATTTTGAGAATAATTTCAGGATTATACTACCTGTGAGGTGCCCTTTTAAATTGACTTGAACATTGAAATGTTTAACTAGCCCATTGCCTGACATATTCAGTTATTAAAGCATTGCTTGGTTGCAGTGCTTCATGATTGATCTAGTAGCCCAATTTCATAAGGTCCCACTAATCTCTATATCATCCTTTGTGTTATCTTTTATAGAATGAAACAGTCGCATTGCTTTTTGTTGTTCAAAATAGAAAAAGAAGAGAAAGTGTATCTTAGTTTGGTTCTTCTTCGATGTTTAAGGCAGAATACAAAATAATCTCAAAGATATATTTATTAACGGCTCATCGTCCTCAAGCTCATGCAGGCACTACAAGAAATCTCATACAAACCTTTTTGTGACATTTATGTGACTTCGTCAATTCCTAACCATTTAGTTCTTGTCATCAAATGGATGGTTGCTTCATTTAATTCCATTCCTATTGTTAATTTCCAACCAGATACATCCATATATCTATATGATCATATTCGATTTTCTTTTCTCCTTCAAATAAGAAATAGAAGAAAAAGTAGCTTGTTTCTATTTCAGATTGTGCTCACGGTTTTTTATTTTAATCTTTCCTGTTTGATGTGCACTTCTTTAGTCGATGATTATCTTAGTGACCTTTGATCGACAACATCATGTTTCCCGAGGCCTTTTTTTCCTTTCAGTTTTGTTCTTTAATAGCTTATTTAAAACTTGGTTTGACTTGACATTGTCGTTGAACTTTAGAACATTTAGACTATTTCTTACACTTGTCTTCATAGTTTTTCATGTGTCCTGAAAGTGTCGATGCACCATTTGGTTGCATATTTAAGCCAACCTGGTTCTTAACCATCTGTAGAGACCGGAACCTAGATTTGCTCTTTCTAGGTTGGGGAAAACGAAATCCCATGCACTGATTTCAAACTCTGCAACTCTTAATTCGGAAGTTTTAGGACTCATTTACTTTGTATGGCTTTTGCAGGGTTCCTACACACTTAAGATGACAATATCAGGCGATGAAATCCCACAGTTAACCTGCATTTCCTTTGATTTCAAAATTGGTTTCGGTACTTCTGGATCTTCGGTTTCCGATATCTAAGCTACCAATTTTACATGTGAACGTACAATGTAGTGGGATGTTTGCTTATTTTCATATGGACAGATCTCATGTTCTAAAACCCTTTGTACATTTATTTTACTAATAATAACTAGGCAATTATTCCACATGTCCTAAATATATCTGAATCCTCTCAGGCAGGCACCCCTGATTTTCCTGGAAAAGAAAATCACTAGGGATCTATTTGGAACATAAAAACTACCATTGGATCATTCAAAAATGATTTTTTTATTTCTTTCTTGGGGCACCTGAAAAATTAGCCAATGATGAATCTTCCAATTTCTTCTGTCGAAAATTAGCAAATGCATGAGATGGTGAGTAGAGCTTCAAGAGCTCTTACTTGTATACATTCAACCGTTACATATGTGATATTCAATTTAAATAGCGGTTTGCTATCAGAATAATGACTGTTATATAACAATAAAGATATTGTCAGAAATTATTATTGTACAATCGTGATACAAGTAATAATCATAATAACATCCTCTATTTTCGCAATGACGATAAACGCAACGCATCAAGCATCGAATAAACAGTGAACCTATTACACTATTGGAATTTACTCCAACGATTACGAAAAACAAACAACATAGATTGTTCACCCTATTATTTTTATTAATCAGATTCTTCATTTAGACACGACCATTATGATTTCAATGGCGATCACGACCTAGAGGTCATTTTAGTAGTTTAATCAAGTAACCCAACCCATCGTGTATGAATGCTTTAGGGAGTCGAATAATCAGTTGGTATTATTCTGAAATGGCTAAGGTAGTGACAAGGACCATTAGGGGTAAAACAATAATTTCGACATAAATGAGTAAAAATCATAAATAAGGTTGACAGAAGAAAAAAATGGCATTTAGGAACCTTGCTGACAATTTATCATTTCATTCATATCCAAAACAGTCTTTTAATTACATAGGTAAATGTAATGCCCAAATACTGATATAAGGACTATTTTGAAATGATTCAAAAATATTAGATTTATTCTATTTATAAAGAAAGATGAGAATGGTTAGGATTAATGGTTAAGACTAAATTGCGACTATAGATTTTTAAGAGGGCAATTTGGTCTTTTACATGAAAGAAAATTTAAATTGGTATTAATAATAAGGGAAAAGAGGATTAGGTTGGGAAAAAAAAAACTCTCTTTCTTCTTCCTCTTCTTCCTCTTCTTCCCCCTAGAAGAGCTCTCTCATAAGCTCAAAGGTAAGTTTTAAATCAAATAGTTTATTCTTTCAATTTTTGCTAGCTAATGAATCCTTGTATATGTTAGAAGTTTAATAAAGGTTTAGAGGGGATTAAAACTAAGTTAAGAATGATATATTAAAGATTAAAGAAAATGGGTTTTATAATGATATGTTAATGTATGAAGGTTTAGTAATGTTTCTTGGTAAAATTGACTTGTCAAGAAGGTAAATGAAAGATTAGAATCATTTGTTAAGTGTAATAACAAGTTAAAAATTATGGTGTGATTCTTAAATTGAATGCTCTTGAGAAATATTAGATGTTTTAAGTGGTTAAATGAAAGAAAGTTCGTAAGAATAAGTATAGAAGTGTTGTATAGTATTGTAGGGGTAAAGAAGATGAAAATTGCCCAAAGTTGGGTAAATTTCGAGTGGAAAACCTGGAAAATCTGGGTAGGTGTAACATCCCAAAATACGGGTTAGTGACCAAAATTGTAAAATTTCAGAATATAAAGAAGATGAAAATTGCCCAAAGTTGGGTAAATTTCGAGTGGAAAACCTGGAAAATCTGGGTAGGTGTAACATCCCAAAATACGGGTTAGTGACCAAAATTGTAAAATTTCAGAATATGGTGATTAAAGTAGAATAGTTTAATAGTTTAATGATTTGTTCGGAAATATTTCCTAAAAGTTTATAGTAATTATCCAAAGAATTAAAGGGTAAAATGGTCATTTGACTTGAAAATTATAATTAAATGATATATAGGCATGTGGGATAAGGATGAGGAGATATTTTCTCCACTTCATCTCCTTTGTTCTTCCACACGAGAGAGAGAGACATCAAAGGTGAGTTTGCTATTTTGTTAATTATTTGTTGTTTTAAAAGTTGGGTTATGATCACTAGATGATAATTAAGCTTAAGGAAAGCTTAAGTTATCTTAAAAGCAAAAGATAAAAGAGTTATGATAGATTAAAGAAAATGAGTTTTTATATGAAATCATGGAATAGAGTTAATAAGTTGAATTTTAAGTTGAATTTGACTTGTCATCTATGAGAATAAGAAGATAGAAGTGTTAGAATTGTATTTAGAACATATTGAAATTTTAGTATGATTCTTGAATTTCATATGAAGGATAGGATTTTGAAGTCATAGAGGATTTTCATGGATATAAGTTAGTTTAAGTAATGGCATTTGAGTTTAATGGCATGGTAGGGGTTTAAAATAGAAGAATTGAAGGAAAATTTGATGATTTTCGAGCTTAAAATACATTTTCTGGGTAGAGGGAACCGATACCCTATGAATGGGAATCGATTCCCCCTCTTGAACGAAAAATTCCAGTATGTTCAAGGGGTATCGATTCCCCTGGGGGGTATCGATTCCCCTTAAATGAAAATATAGAATTTGATTCATTAAACCGGTTTAAGTTATTAACATCAAGTTTAAAGTTTAGGCTTCTGATAGTTGTTTTAAAATGATATATTTATGTAGATATTGAGCCTAAACAAGTTCCAGAATAATCAAAGGATTATAATCGAATCAAAGTAAGGCTAAGGTGAGTGCAATTTAATTGTACTTATGTTATCGAATAAACATTGGCTTGTGATGAGCCAGTGATGGAGTTACTATGGTAAGAAGTGACTCCTAAAATGTTATTTGATTTGTGAATGATATGATGCTTATGTGTGTATGAGTACATGATTACATGTATATGTGATATGTGATATTGAACTATATGAAATTATAATATATGAGGATACATGCCTATGTGACAAGCTATGTGAAACTGAATTAAGTAGATACATGAGAATATGACATGAGATAGATAATATGAGTTATGTGATCATATTAGAAAATATGTTAAGTGATATGTGAAAGTGGATTACATGTTTATGTGAATATGTGATACGATATGAGATATATGTTTACACATACATAGGGTATGTGACAGAAGAGAAGGAACATGAGATTATAAGATCAATGATTACACGTATATGTAATACGTGACAGAAAAGAAAAGATATGTGTTTATAAGAGAAATGATATGATATAAGTTATGTGATTACATGTATGTATTAATACATCTTGCTTGCATTACATGTTAGTGTGATTGTGAATAGGTAGGAAGGAAACAAATAATGATATAAGAATCTATTATAAAATATATGATATGAAATACATGGTTACACATACATGTGGTATGTGACAGAAGAGAAAGAACAAGTGATGAGAAATGTATTCATAATGATAATGCCCATGTTATGAGTTATGAGAACTGTAGGTATAGTTGGCATGCCAAGAGTCAAAGAACTACCTATGTCTTTCGAGACATATGGACAGTATACCTATGATCTAAGGAACATATGGATAGTTAACCTAGGTTCTTTGGGACCTATGGACAGTTACCGAGGATCTTTATTACCTCTGGATAGTTACCGAGGATCTTTATGACCTCTGGATAGGTCCTGCGGGACATTGATCGAGCTGTGGTGACAGCATATGTGTGCACAACCTCAATGTACTCACATACCTTAAGTTCTCAATAGTGTACATGGGTTAATAAAGAGATTAAACAAACATACTGAATGTGATATGTATATGTGACTTGTTATATGGAATAGATTACAGGATTTATATAATGGTGTATTGCTTGGTTAATGCATGATATGGTAAAGACAAATGTTTATATAAGAGTGTTAAATTATAAAGATTAATGATAGTGAATGAGAAATGTTAAACGTGTTGATAATGATATATGTGCATGTGTGTACATGTTGCAGAAATTATATATATGTGCTGTTATATGATATGATTGTAATACTAATTGCTCATGCATTTGATATGAATTATAGTTGTATTATATGTTTTATATGCCTCACTAAGTCAACGACTTAGCGTGTGATTGTTTCACACGTAGGTTACAGAAGTGAGAAGAGTAAAGAGCAACGTGGAGCAAGACAAGTCAGTTCTTCTTACCAAAAGTCAGATCAGAAGAAAGATAAATAATATGTATTTGAATACATAAAGTTCTAGTTGGCATGTATTCAAGATAATATATTGTATAAGCTCTGAATAGTTCGATAAAGGTTTTGAATAAGTTATAAATAATAATAAGTTTTAAATTACTCACTATTTTATACAAGTAAAGGTTTTTGAAAAGTCCATGTGGCACTTCGGACTCGGATACGGGTTGGGGGTGTTACATTTAATGGTACCAGAGCTACGGTTTAGCCGATTCTCGGCATAAACTAAAGTCCAAAGTGTCATAAAATGTGTACATGCCAACACAGAGTGAAAATTTCTGATCTGATAGGGTAAGGAGTATGTTGTCTTGCCAATAGAACAAGATTTGTATAATATAAATAGAAATTGATTATAGAAATTGTCGAAGTGAATCGATAGCTGACAAATTTGATGGTGATAGCAATTCACTTGCCCTGGCCAGGCAGGATGAAGAGCAGAAACCTCAGAAAGTGTCTTATAAGATTAAAGGTTGATTTCATAAAGTTGAAATCATATTAGAATAGTGAAAGAAGATCTTTATTATTTTGAATCGGAAAAGCGATATGGATTAGTTTTGTTAGTATGTGGATAAGATAGAACATGGTGAACAAGTGTCACCATAAGAATGTTAAAAAGATCTAATGACGTGGTAAGTACTTATAGAAGAACTCAAGGATAAGTGCATCAGTGACAAGTGTATAAGATGTATAAAGTCAGAGCTTATGAGTTTGACGAAGTGATAGTATTGAGCATAAACAAGAGTATGTTTATGATAAGGGTTTGCAGTTAATATGGAAAGAGTTAGCGTTGGCTAACCAGAGTATGTGATAAAAATGTACTGGAATTATAAGATTATAAGATATTGTCAGGATATGATAACCAAATCTGAAATGGATCTAGATATAGTTGCATATTTGGATCATAGTAATGTGGTATAGTAAAGGAAAAGG